GGCCGGTAAAGGAGTGTTGCAGGTGGAGACATATTTCCGCCTTGAGCTTTGAAGTCACCATAAACCCTTAAGGGTGTAGGGTTTAGGGTGACTCGTTGTCAAGACAACCCTGAACTGTCAGCCCAGAACAGTCACAAAAGACTTTGCAGAGCTGAACCCCAAAGCCTCAGCCCTATTCATCATATCCCTAAGCCTACTGAGGAACTGCAGTCCAAAATTAGCTTCTACTGGCCAGCAGGGAAAGTAGGCAAAAACCTGCAACCCCAAACGCCCCAGACTGGGCCCTAACCCTTTACCCCTCAAACCTCTCAAACCCCTCAAACCCTCAACCCTCGACCCGCTAAACTCCTCAGCCCCTCGAGCCTAAACCCCACCCCTGTCAAACCGACGACACCGTGAGCTTAAGACATCCCCTTGGCCAATGGTAGGCCGCAGCCGGCCACGCCGCCCCAGGAGGGCAGTCCGGCCAAGAGGCTCTCAAGGGGTTTCGGGTTTAGGGTTTAGAGTTTGGGGTTAAGGGTTTAGGGTTTGGGTTTGTGGGCTTAGGGTGTCAGGGTCTACGGGTTTAGCTTCTGAGGTTGTGTGGTAAGTCGTTGTAGGGTTTCAGGGTCTTTCGACTCAAAGGCTTCTTCGCCTGAGCGGCTTGAGGCATTATAGGGTGTCAGGATTTAAGGTTTAGGGTTTAGGTCAGGGTTTAGACTTTGCAGGGTTTCGGGTTTAGGGTTTAGGGTTAGGGTTTAGGGTTAGGCCTTAGGGTAGGGGAGTTGGGATTCAGATTTTGGGTCTCCACAGCTGCTGGGAGGTTCCCATGCGCGAAGAGGGTTGGTTTAAGGCTTAGTGTTTATGATCCTTAAGCGCTAGGCCGTTAGGGTTTTCAGGGTTTTGGGGGTCGGGGGTTCGCAAGGTTCTACAGTATAACCCTAGAAGCCCTAAAGATCCCCATAAACTCTGTAAACCGAGAGTTTAGGGTTTAGGGTTTAGGGTTTAGGGTTTAGGGTGCTCCACTACTTACTTCCTCCAAGTCGTGAACGGCCAACCCCCCTCGTCCTCGCGGCCGGAGGGCCTCTGCCCTTCGGCACCCCGGCACGGAGGACCCAGGAGGACCCCTAAACCCTAAACCCTAAACCCCAAACCCAAAACCCTACCCTAAACCCTAAACCCTAAACCCTAAATAAGCACCCATGTGAAGGCGGTCCTGGGGGCGCAGGTAAACCCTACACCCGAGACCTTCGGTTGAGAGGATGAACTATTTCGGTTTGGGGATGCTCCTCAAGAACCTCTCAGGACATGTCGGGCTGTGTAAAACGGGAAAGCTTTCGGGATGCAACCCTGAACCCTAAACCACCCCAAACAGCAAACACAAAGCTATCCCCGAATCCTAGAAGCCCGAAACCCTAAAGCCCTAAACCCTAAAAACCCTAAACGCTAAACCCCTAAACCCTAAACTCCGAAACCCTCAACCCTAAACCCTAAACCCTAAACCCTAAACCCTAAAACCCTAAACCCTAAACCCTAAAGACCCTAAAGACCCTAAAGAGGTGCGAGTTTGGATCCCTTGCTGCGCAGGCCGGCGGCGCCCGGGGCCGCGAGCCCGGCCGCGAGGCGCTCTTGGAGTTCATGGGACTTAGGGACTTAGGGGTTTAGGGTTTAGGGTTTAGGGTTTAGGGTTTAGGGTTTAGGGCTTAGGGTTTAGGGTTTAGGGTTTAGGGTTTAGGGTTGAGGGGTTCAGTTGCCCGAGCAGTGTGTCAACACTGAGGGGTTCCAATATTCAGAGTAGGAGGGGCGAAGGCTACAGAACGGTTTTGGGCTTTAGGGTTTAATTGGGGTTTAACGTTTAGTGATTTAGGGTTTTAGGGTTTAGGGTTTTAGGGGTCTAGGGTTTGGGGTTTAGGGTTTCGGGTTAGGGTTTTCGGGTTTGCGGTTTAGGGTTATTGGTTAGGGCTCATACCTGACAGCTGACAGCAATCTTTCTGATGTAGGAATCACGGTCTTCGGGTTGCCGCTCCAGTCCATGGGTCAAGTACCCTGCCCTAAACCTTAAACACCCCAAACCCTAGAACCCCTAAACCCTAAACACCCTCAACCCTAAAAACCCTACACCCTAAAAACCCAAACCCTAAAAAACCCTAAGCCCTAAACCCTAAGCTTCCCTGGGCCCCAGAACATGAGCTTTGAGCTGATGCCAGGCCCCCATCGCGGACGGATCTCTCCAACAATGTGAGGTGAGCGGGCTTCAGGGTTGTTTGGATTTTTAGGCTGTTTAGGGTGTGCAGTGTAGGGTTTGTAGGGTGTTTAGGGTGTTTAGGGTGTTTAGGGTGTTTAGGGTGTGTAGGGTGTTTAGGGTGTTTAGGGTGTGTAGGGTGTTTAGGGTGTTTAGGCTTTATGATATAAGGCTTCGGCTTTTACGGGCGGCCTGGGGTTTAGGGTTCGGGCGGTCTTCAGGGTTTAGGGTACGCAGGTTTTTACCCCTAAACCCGAAACCCTCAGCTTCAAACCCTAAAGCCGGGGTTTAGGGCATCCCGAAACCCCAAAACGCCTTAGACACCAGCAATCCTGGTCCACAAATGCCTCCCGAACACTGAAGCTAGCACACCATTCTCCTCGCGGCTCTGTGTGCCATATGGGCTTTCAGTAAAGATCGAATTTCAGGGGCTTAGTTTCGGGCTCAATTGGGTTTGGGGGGGAGGGTCCTTGCCCTCAGAGCCAAAAGGACCCCGCCAAACCCTGGCCCCTAAACCTTGAGCCCTCAACCCTCAACCCTCAACCCTCGACCCTCAACCCTCAACCCTCAACCCTAAATCCTAAACCCTAAACCCTAAGCCCTAAACCCTAGACCCTAAACCCCTAGCCCCTAAACCCCTAGCCCAGAATTTTACACTCTACACCTTCTCCCCCCCCGCCCCCCCTCCACGAGGCAGGGCATCTTGGCTTCTGCCAAGGCAAGGTCGACCAGGCGCCGGATTTCTGTCTGGGAACCCTGAACCCTAAACCCTAAACCCTAAACCCCAAACCCTAAACCCTAAACCCCAAACCCTAAACCCTAAACCCTAAGCCTAACATGGGTCGGGTAGCCGAGGATCCTTGGCATTTGTTTCCGGTGTTGCCGTGTAGAGACTACTGCGTGACTCTCTGCAACGAGCGGTGCAAGTGACCCCTGGCTGCTTTAAGTGCAGCCAGGGGGGCTCAGGATGTTGGGCGAGGCAGTCTGGAACGCCAACCCGGACCCAACTCCCTCGGAATACCCGGGGAACATCTGAAGCTGAACACGAAGCCCTAGGGCGGTCAGCCCCCTGCACAAAGGCTAGGGGCCTTTCGTAGCCGTTCAATAAAGCTTATCTACGCCTAAGCTCTGAAGAACCTAAAGGCTCTAAGCCCTCGTACCGCTCCTGAATGCTTTCGAAGTCGTACTTCCAGAAGATTCCCGGGTCCTCTGGGCAGGGTCTGGAGGTCAACCCTAAACCCTAAACGCCGGAACGCGATCAACCATAAAGAGGATCCCCCAAACCGAAACCCCTGTACAGGCCCTAAACCTTAAACCCTAAACCGTAAACCCTAACCCTAAACCCTAAACCCTAAACCCTAAACCCTAAACCCTAAACCCTAAACCCGAAACCCTAAACCCTAAACCCTAAACCCTAAACCCTAAACCCTAAACCACCCTACACCCTAAACCCTAAACCCCCCCTAAGCCCTAAGCCCTAAACCCCAAACCCGAAACCCTAAACCCTGACCGAATTTAGGTTCAGGGTTTCCAGGTTTCAGGGTTCCCCCCCCCCCCCCCCCCCCCCTCCACTTGAGAAATCGCCAGAGAAGGCCCACAACATCCCGCTGAGATTGCTGGAGGCAGAGCCCACGTGCCCGGGGTCCCAGGGTTTAGGTTTCCAATTAGGGTCAGGATCAAGGGCTTGCAGGGTTTGGGGCTCAGATTTCGGGACTTTCGTTGGGGGATTGTAGGATTCAGGGCTTTGAGGGTTTGGGTTTTTCGATTTGTGGAATTTTGTTGGGAGATTTGGGCGGTCGTTTCGGTTCTTACCTGGTGAATAAAATGGCGTGGGCATACTTTTCAGCCCGATTCTTGCTCTCTTTGTCCTAAGCATGAACCCTAAACACCCAACCCTACGACCATGACTAGACCTCCCAGGCTTTGATCAACAAGTTCGTGATTGCCTTTACGCAAGGCGGGCTTAAATCAATCACCGTGCAGACCCAGTGGCTGTGTGGCCATGCTAGAAGTCCGTGCTGTTTCGGGTTTAGGGTTTAGTAGGGTTTAGGGTTTAGGGTTTAGGCTTTGATAGGTTTCCCCTCAGTGCCAGGAGGAGCTTTGCAACGCCTATCAGCGACCGCCGCGTCTGGGAGCTAAAAAGCGGACTCACATGTACTGCGCTTCCCCACCGACGTTCCTAGTAAATACAGAGGAAGCAAAGGTTTACTTCTCAAAGCGCCAGAAATAGAGGTTTCCTCGGATCATGCATAAGAAGTAGAGGCTGTTCTGCTAGCAGACTATACAGGGTGATAGAAGTTTACCTAGGAAAACAGAAAAATTAAAGGTAAAAGAGATTTCCCATGAACAAAAGCAGAAGAAACAGAGGTTTCTTAGGAAAGTATAGAGGCCACCCCAAGTAACAAAGAGTGCGAAGAAAACAAAGGGCTAACAACAAATCTCCACCCGTTAGGGTGGGATCTGCTTGTACATTATTCTGTTTATACACAGGCCTTCTATGGGCTCGTCTTGCACAGACGTCAGGCTGCACTTGGAGACATGAATCAAAGCGAATCCCTGCAAGTTGGTTTTGAGTCCTCACCACACCAGGCATTGTTTTCTCGTATCGCTTTCTGTCATTCGAGAAACATCTGACCGCTTGTCCTACCATAATCTAGTGCTGTAATAAGATTATCACTTCCAACTTCCAATAACATCATAGAACCATCGTGGCAGCCCAGGCACAGTATACCAAAGCATAGAGCGTAGAGAAGAGTGCGCAGCCGGAAGCCTTGCAGACATGAGGCCCAAGATTGATGAGACATGGCAGGGACGAAATGCAGCTGGAGACTACAAACGCCACCAACCCCAGGTGTACCAGAGAACCCTCAACGATGCCCAAACGAAGAGCTTCGCAGAGCAGCTCTTGGTGTTTATTCAACTTTCCCAGCAGCAATGACTAGGGACGAACTCTCAGAGCAGCAGGCCCCATAGTCCTTAACACTGCCAAAGATGCAGCGGCTGCCCCCCGGGAGCATGGGTTGCCTGTCTCCCGATGTCTTCTTCCGAAGCACGGATGCCGCGGGATCCGGACGCAGGCCCCTTTGTTCGCATAGCCCCCCCGTGGCCCAGTTCTCCAAATTTTTCACCCGAAACTTTGGGGCCACCAGGGATTGTATGAATTATTCAGGGGTAATACCCCAAGCCCTGAACCGTAAAGCAACAGCCCCCCAAAGCTTTAGAAGGCCCCTTAGGGCCCTGGACGCCTGAAGCCCTAAACTCCCAGAAGTGCCTTAGAAATACTAAGCCTTGAGTCCCCCCCCTAGACCCCCCTGATGTTAAGCCCCAGGCCGTTCACGTTCTTCAATGCTAGAACAGGGTTTACGGCTAGGGTTTAGGGTGTAGGGTGTAGGGTTTAGGGTTTAGGGTTTAGGGTTTAGGGTTTGGGGTTTAGGGTTTAGGGTTTAGGGTTTAGGGTTTAGGGTTCATGGAACTGTTTTCTCTGGATGCCCAGGCACAGGGGAAGCGCCGGACCCCGAGACCTGTCCGGCCACCTCCAGCTCCGGGTGCCCTCCGCGAGTCGGTCGAGGGGTTTGGGGTTTGGGGTTTAGGGTTTAGGGTTTAGGGTTTAGGGTTTAGGGTTTAGGGTTTAGGGTTTAGGGTTTAGGGTTTAGGGTTTAGGGTTCAGGGTGTAGGGTTTAGGGTTTAGGGTTTAGGGTCTAGGGTTTAGTGACTGGGGTTTTAGGGTTTGGGGTTTTGGGTCTTGGGTTCTAGATCATGTCGAATAGATGGTTTTCTGAACTAGGGTCCCTCTTTGGGGTCCCCTATACAGTACGGCACCCTTGGAATAAGGGTACACAAAATGGACACTAATTTAGAGAACTTACACATATAGAGTTGATAAACGAGACTTGTTCTAGGAATCAGGCGTTGGGGGTTTATAGGGCTTTGTAGGGCTTACGGGGGTAGGGTTAAGTTGAGATTTAGACGAGGGGGTGGAGGACTTCAAGGTTTTCGCAGGGTTCAAGATTTAGTGTTGCGAGCGGGCTGTGGCATGAGAGCAGTCAGGCGGCAACAGTTTTGGATTGTTCCCTTATCTGACAGCTTCTCCGTATCAGGTGCTCTTCTTCCGTGGAGGAGAAAGAAGCCCGGCTGACTCAGGCAATATAGACTACAAACCGTACAACAATGAAAACCCCCAAGCCCTAAAGCCCTGGTTTGGGTTCGGGCATAGGTTTCCTCGCAAACCCTTTAGTGGGCAAAAATGTTACCTAGGTTGCTCTGGAACCTTCTCAAAAGACGGGTTTGGGGATCAAGGTTTAGGTTTGGGTTCAGCGTTTAGGGTTTGGGGTTCGGGGTTTAGGTTGGGTTTAGGTCCGAACCGTCCTAAACAGTAAGCTCTTGAACCGGATCCCCCCCCCTCAATTCGCCCCAAAAAGAAGCTACAACACTCAGCAAGAACACAAAACCCTCACTGAAACCCCAAACCCTGGGCCCTAAACCCTGAGCCCCAGAACGGAGCTGCTCACACACGAGGATGCCTCTAAACCCTAAACCCTAAACTCTAAACCCTAAGCCCTAAACCCTAAACCCTAAACCCTAAACCCTAAACCCTGAACCCTAAACCCTAAACCCTAAACCCTAAACCCTAAACCCTAAACCCTAAACCCCCAAGGATGCCTCTGAGATCTCGGAGTGCAAGCGACAGTTCAACTGCGACAGCTTGGAGGAGGCGCTGGGCATCGCGCGGCAGTGCGCGGCGCTGCAGCTCGTCTTCGATGTCGGGGGGTGAGGTTTAGGGTTTAGGGTTTAGGGTTTAGGGTTTAGGGTTTAGGGTTTAGGGTTTAGGGTTTAGGGTTTAGGGTTTAGGGTTTAGGGTTTAGGGTTTAGGGTTTAGGGTTTAGGGTTTAGGGTTTAGGGGTTATATATGTGTGTTTTTATAGGGTGTCTAGGTGTTTGGGTTCGGGTTTATAGGCTTCAAGGGCTTTATGGGCTTGGGGTCGGGTTATACGGTTTTCATGGGGCTTTATGGGTTTTTGTGGGTTTTTTATAACTCATGTTCTTACAAACACATAGAAAGCCCCTCAGCAGCGCAAGGAAGAAGGAGGGCTGGAATGAGTCCAACGACAACACCTGGGACCAGACGTTGGAGCTTCGCTACTTACTAGCTTTGGCTGCAGCTCCCGCCTTACACTGGCAGCCTTTGGCTTGTTTTGCTTTTCTTGGGGGGGGGGGGGGGGTGTTAGGGCTGAAAGGGTTTAGGGCTGCTTAGGGCTTTTAGGGTTTAGGGTTTAGGGTTTAGGGTTTAGGGTTTCGGGTTTAGGTTTGTAGGATGGTGTTAGGGCCCTAAGCCCCTCCCAAACCCCGGTGTGGGGTGTAGGTCCTCATGATCCTCTGCGGGCCCGATCAAGGCAAAGCCAGACTTCGTCCCACCCGCACGGTTCCAACAAGCGATGGACACGTGCACCTTGCACTGCTTTATGGGTTTAGGGTTTTTGAGGTTAGAGTCTTGGGTTGAAAGCAAGGCATTCGGTGTGTTAGGTTTTTTGGGTTTGGAGGATCTCACTCACAGTGTTTTAGGGTTTCGGATTGGGTTCTTAAGAGTCTTTCAGGTTTCAGTTGATTACAGGTGTTCAAAACAATGCAGGATTTTGAGGGTTACAGGGCTTAGGTCTCTGATTTAGAGGTTGCGCCCTTATACAAGCAACCCGCAGTAGGGATGATCTCCAGAAGGGGCAACTCCAAACGTAGCAATCTGGGGAACTGTACAACCCGAAATAACAAAAAGCCTATAAACCCTACAGCCAAAGAAGCCCTAAACATCGGGAGGAGTTGGGTTTCGAGGTCCTGGTCTAAACCCTAAACCCTAAACCCTAAACCCTAAACCCTAAACCCTAAACCCTAAACCCTAAACCCTAAACCCTAAACCCTAAACCCTAAACCCCAAACCCCAAACCCTAAACCCTAAACCCTAAACCCTAGCCACTAACACCTTGGGCTCGATGTTCGTTCGGACTCCGAGCTTCTAAGGCCGGCTCCTCCCAGCAATTGCGCCGAAGCGAAATAGATCCATCAACCTACCGCTTTTTAGCCCTCAAGGCCCTGGAACCTCCAAAGCCCCTACAGCTCCTCAAGCCCTAAATCCCCTAGAATCCGAAATCCCACCCCCAAAAAACACACAAAAAAGCAAAACGGTAGGAAACTCATCCCCAAGACCCCGAAAGCCCCCCCCCCCCCCCCCCCCCCCAAAAAAAAAAAAAAGCTCCCGTCAGGCATGAAGTGCCTGCTGCACGCCCCTGAGGGCCAGCTGATGCAGCCGGCTCGGCTCCTGCTGCTCCTGGACTCCCCGGACACGGGCCCGGTGCTGCGCTACCTGAGCCTTGGGGCGATGAAGTTTAGGGTTTAGGGTTTGGGGTTTAGGGTTTAGGGTTTCGGGTTTAGGGTTTAGGGTGGGGTTTATAGGGTTTAGGGTTTAGAGAGAAAGCCCCCGACGGAACCCGTGAACCCTCTTAGCCCTGAAGCCCTGAAATCCCAGACCCTAAGCCCTCCAAGCCCGAAACCCTTGTCTAAGCCCTATACGGTACTTCTGAATGAAAGCCTGTGAAGCCTAGACTGAAACCCTGAAGCCCGCATGAACTATTCCAAGCCAGAGCCTCATTCTCCCTTTTTTTGCCAGAATACCCAGCCAAGACCCCAGACCGCCCTGAACTATGAAGCCTAAGCTCCAAGCACGCTCGAACCAGCACATCAACCCTAGGCTGTGCCTCAAATGAAAGTGCGAGACCCCATGTGGCCGCCCAGGACGTGGCTCGAGGAGGCACTCAAGGACCTGCGGTGGGCTCTCTATCTTGTTCGGGTTTTAGGGTTTCGGGTTTAGAAAGGTGTGTTGCGGGCCTTTCTTTCCTGGCGGTTGTGTTGACGGTATGGAGTGGGTTTCGGGGGGTACTTATAAGCCCCAAACCAAAACTTATTATATAGTGGGCCCCTAAACCCGAAGCCCTAAGCCCTGAGCCCTAAACCCTAAACCCTAAGCCCTAAACTAAATGCTGAGGAGGGCCCGGGTTCCGACCAGCAGAGTCGGACCGTGCTGGTGCCGCAGCGTGTTTGCTCCGCCCTCTGCTCCTGGAGCCTTGGACCGAAAATCTTCGAAAAGGGGGGTATAGGGGGGGGGGGGGTTGGGGGTTTTTAGGGTTTGAGGGGTTTTGGTGGTTTAGGGTTTTAGGGTTTTGGGGTTAAGGGTTTTAGGGGGGTAGGGGTTTAGGGTTCAATGCGTTCAGGGCTTGAGTTTAGGGTTCGGGGGCGTAAGGGTTGTGGGTGTGGGTGTGGTTTTGGTGTGTGTGTGTGTGTGTGTGGATTTCTTGGACCCTTGGTAGTACCTGATTTGGGTGAGCTACAACTATGGGTCTAGGTGTGGGTGTAGCGTTGAAAGGCGGCTTCAGAGAATAAGGGATTTCGGATTTAGGTGCTGCGAAGATGTGGTCTCGTTTCCGGGGGCTCCTGTAATCAAATGGAGCCTTCTAAGTTGCTTTACCCCAAAGAGAAACCTCTCCAAGAGAAGTGTTTAGGGTCCTTCCGGTTTCGGTCTTAGAGTAGGCTCGTTTCAGAGTACCAGAGCCGGCTCTGAAATTCACCGAGCCCTAAGCAATGAACCTCTTCAAGAGTCCCGAAGTACCTGCTGTCATGCTAGACCCTAAACCCTAAACCAAAACCTTAAACCCTAAACCCTAAACCCTAAACCCTAAACCCTAAACTCCAAACCCTAAACCCTAAACCCTAAACCCTAAACCCTAAACCCTAAACCCTAAACCCTAAACCCTAAACCCTCAGCTTTAACCTGGCGCCCCAGGCCTGCCGAGCGCTCCTTGCTGCAGCAGAGCGCAGCGGCATTGTGGGAGGTGCTGACTCTTGGCCCGGTGGGTTTGTAGTGCTTGTTTTTTTTTTTGGTGGGGGGGGGGGGGGGGTTAGGATTTAGGGTTTAGGGTTTAGGGTTTGGGTTTCGGGTTTGGGGTTTGGGGTTAGGGTTTAGGGTTTAGGGCTTAGGGCTTAGGGTTTCGGGTTTAGGGGGCACCCTGAAACCCGAACCAATAATAGGGCCTGCAGGATTCAGGGCATGAGGGCTGTGAGTTGCAGTGGGGTCCTTCCTCCACAGAGCTTCTGTAAGGGCCCAAGCAAAAGGTGGCTTTGAGTTGGGTTTTCGGATATCCACCAATTTTCGGGTTCACAAAGGGTTTGCGCAGGGTAGGTGTTGACATGAACTCCCCGCTCCCCCCCAACAAAATCTCGAACCCCTCGGCAAAAAAGCGGAAAATAATCTGGGGATGTGTTTGGATTTGTTTGGGTTTGAGCCAGTTTCATCCCTGAACCCTAGCCTAACCCAGAGACCCTTAGCCCTGCAACCCTCCAACCCTCCAATCCCCTAAACCCTAAAACCTTAGCCCTCCAACCTTCTAACCCTCTAAACCCGAAACCCTGAATGGGGTGGGGTGGGGTGGGGTTGGGGGGGGGGGGTGTTAATTGCACCCCCCCTAAACCCTAAGCCCTAAACCCTAAATCCTAAAAACCCTGAACTGCTCAGGGCTTGAGTTCGTCCAGCCTACGCAGCCAAGGATCACCGAGGGCCCGCAGCAGCTGAGGACCCTGTTCACTTTTCGGGGTTTAGGGTGGTTTAGGGTTTAGGGTTTGGGGAGGGTTTAAGGAAATGCTTGAGGTTTAGGGTGTTTGGGGACCCCATTCAAGGTAGGGTTGGGGGTTGATTGAGGTTTGAGCGTTAAAACCGCAAGCGGACTGTGTGGGGATTATCAGTTCAGGCAGCAGTGTTGGAGGCATTTTAGGCACTCCAGCAGTATCCTTGATCGCTTGCTTTTGGGCATGCAGATACACGGCAGACCCCGAACTCAAAGCAACCCAATGCCCGAGCCCCAAACCCTAACCTCTAAAGCCCAAAACCCACAAACAGCCAGCCCCAAACCCTAAATCAACCCCCTAGTTGAGCCGTAAAATCCTCAGACCTCAATCAGCCCTACACACCCTAAGTCAACCGTTACCCCAAAACCCCAAACACCCCAAACCCTAAACCCTAAACCCTAAGCCTTAAATCAAACCCCAAAAGACCTGAGCCTTTTCCAGGGCCGCGGCCGATTGGCGTGAGGCGGTGCAGGAGCGCCAGGCGCCTGTGTGGAGGGGAAATCCGAGGTTTACGGGTTTAGGGTTTTTGGGGATGTAGGGTTTGGGGTTTTTGAGGGTTTAGGTTTTGGGGATGCAGGTTTTTGGTTTTTTTTTGAGGGTTTGGGGTTCAGGGTTGTTTGGGATGTAGGGTCTGGAGGGTTTGGGGTTCAGGGGTTTTGAGGTTCAGAGGTGTGTTGTGCGGTTTGGGGTTCAGGGTTGAAGGGTTTGGGTCTTCAGGGCTTTGATTAGGTTGGATTAGGAATTGGGGCATAAGCGCTGAGAGTTTGTTTCAGGTAGACGGGTTGAGGGCTTCAGGGTTTTAGGCTTTGGGGCTTCATGGATTTAGGGTTGAGGTTTGGGCTGAGTGTGGTAATTAGTTTGAGGGGTTACCCGAAAGCCCTAACCCTAGACCCTAAACCCTAAACCCGAACTAAGCCCCGAGTTTCGGGTAGGGTTGAGTTAGGGTTTAGGGCTAAAGCTGTGGGTCGTTAGGAATGTTCCGAGTAGAAGGTCCAATTCAGCCTTGTGCAAACGTTGACAAGGACCCTAGACCCTAGACCCTGTAAACCCTAAACTCTAGACCCTAAGCCCTAAACCCTAAACCCTCAACCCTCAACCCTCAACCCTAAACCCTAAACCCTAAACCCTCAACCCTCAGTAAGACCAGAAAATGTTCTCCAGGGCATCCAGAAGACCCAGACTGAGGCGGCTTGATGGCACGTTGCTTCGGGTCTAGGGTTTAGGGTGCAGGCTTCGGGGTTTGAGGGTTCAGGTTGTTTCGCTTCGGAGTTTAGGGCAGAAGGCTTCAGGGCTGAGGGCTGAAGGATGTGAAGTTGCGTTCTCATGTATGTATCTGGTATACTCATGCACTTTTCTTGGAGAGCATGCGCATAGCTGGCGACTTTGGAGCCCGGAAGCCCAACCCCCTGACCTGGAGAACCTCCAGCAAGAATTCAGTTCGAGTGTTCGGGCTTGGAGGTTCAGGGTTTAGGATTCAGGGTTCAGGGTTTATGGTGTTTGCAGGGTTTAGGGTTTAGGGTTTAGGGTTCAGGGTTTAGGGTTTAGGGTTAGGGTTTAGGGTTTAGGATTCTCAGGGTTTATGGTGCTTGCAGGGTTTAGGGTTAGGGTTCAGCCGGGGTTTGCAGCTATTCTAGGTCTCCAAGCGGTGCCGTTTCTTTTTTTCGGCAGGGGGGGGGGGGTTGTCCCTCGCTTGCCGGGGAAACTGGTTGCATGCTCTGGTTTGGTTTTGGGGGTTTGGGGGTTTGGGGCTTTGAGGTGTTGGTGTGCCGCGGCCGCACAGCCCTAAGCCTTATACCCAAAACTTACGATTATCACAGCAAAGCCCGCAGCCCGAAACGTTAAACCTATACACCTTGGCCCTACACTCACAACTCAAAACCTCTGAGCCCTGAACTTTAAGATTGTGCACCCCAAGCCGCCAAAAGAAGCCCTGGTTGAGGGCTCAATTAGGGTTTAGGGTTTAGGGTTTAGGGTTTAGGGGACCCTCTATAAGCCCTCTGCCCTCCCTCAAACAGAGCCCCGAGCCCCTGCCAGGAGTGTCAGCAGATCGCCAGGCAGCTCCAAGAAGTTGCCTGCCCGGCACCGGCTTGGGGGGGGTGTCCTTAAGGATTTAGGGTTTAGGTTTTAAGTGTGTAGGGTTTAGGGTTTAGGATTTAGGGTTCAGGGTTTAGGGTTGTAAGGGTTTCAGGATTTAACGTGTAGACCCTAACCCCTACACCATGAACCCTAGTGATAGGAGAAGAGCCCTACACCAGCCCGGCTAAAGCAGACAAAGGGTGGCCCGAGGGCCCCGTCTCGAGGGAGCTACCGCCGGACGCCATCGCGAGAAGAAGGCTCCCGGTTCAACAAGGAGACATGGGCAGAACTCCGAAACTCAACGCCCTGAACTCCGCACCATGAATCCTCAACTCCAAACCCTCAACTCTAAACCCTAAACCCGTAACGCTCAATCCTAAAGCCTGCCGGAAACCCTAAAAGCCAGACCCTCATCCCAAATCCTTCCCCTCAACCCTGAAGCCACTACCTGCGACTGTCCGGCCAGGCCAATTTTTTTGCCGGGCAGGTGGAGGACAACTCCGGCACGGAATGGCTGCATCCCCAGCAGCTGTCTGTGGACAACGGGCTTTGGGCTTAACAGTTTCGAGCTAGTCTTTTTGGGATTCCCAGAGTAGAAGCTATGTGATCCCAATTTTCGGCTCATCTAGTCTTCAACGCGGTTCCGGGTTTAGGGTATACGTGGTCCGAGACCCTACACAGGTCAGACTCCGTCTTTGATGAAGCCCTCCAAGGCATCCTTACAGAACAGCACCATCCCCCGACCAAGATCTCCCCGAGTTTTTTCAAGTCTTTGCCCCCCTTAGTGGAGCAGACCAACCAGCTGCTTTGCCTCGTTCTGGTGATACACCTCAGAACTCCCCCCCCGACCAAAAGTTCTTGACCTACATCGACCTGCACGCCTTGGGTTGTGGTCTTGAAGGCTGCAATGTTCAGCTTCCGCCAGTCGAGGATATCCCCTTGTCCTTTAGACCCTAAACCCTAAACCCTGATCCCCTTCCTATGGACTCATAGCCCCAGGCCGAAGTTGGCCCGTGTCACCCAGGAGCAGATGGGGTGCTGAGGTTGGGGGGGCGGTAGGTTTACAGGGTTTGGGGTTGGGGGTTCGGGTTTTGAAGGCTTCTATGCAAAACAAGATATCTATCCTACAAGGGCACCCCCAGTCAGAGAAAAGAAGATACAGTTTAGAGTCGCTGTTGCTCAGTTTGGATTTCGGGTTTAGGGTTGTTGTTTGGCTTGTTGTTTGGCTTTAGACCAAAGATCCTGAGCCTTTTACTTCGGGGAGGAATCTGGGATGTCCGGGGCCATTCTTTCATTGCAAGTTCCCCAAGCTTGGCGAGGAGTCTCTCTACAGAGTTCAGCAGGTTGCCGGGGACCTTCTCCAGAATCAGAAGGACCCGCGCGCGCTGTGCATGGTGGCTGTTCTTTTGGGCAGATAGAGAGGGCTTGAGGTTGGGGAGTCAGAGCGGGCTTGGGGTTCTAGAAGTTCTAGACTTTAGGTTTTTTTGGGCTTTTGTAGGGTCTTTTGGAGATGCTGGGATCTAGAGTTTTAGGGCTGCACGCTTCAGAGCTCGACACATTAAGTGTTAGAGTCAGGGTGCTGGGCTCAGCTACTGTAAATCCTAGACCCTAAACCCTAAACCCTAAACCCTAAACCCTAAACGCTCACTAAACCCTAAGCCCTTTCCCTAAGCCCTGTATGCGCAATTCCTACTGGAGGCATAGGAAGGTTTGTGTAAGGATATGTCCCAAGAAAGCCCGGAGCTCCAGACCTGGTATGTAGTAGCCAAGATGCTCACAAGGCGCGAGGATTTCTACGTCAGAGTTCTATTTTCTAAGCCCTATAGGTTTGGCGCCCTGAGCAGGAGTGCTGGTCGCAAGCGCTGGAAGACTATGAGGTGTGTTGCTGCAGTTGAGGTTTCAGGGCCTCAGGGGTTCGGGTTCCAGGTTTTTAGGTTTTGTTGGATATTCAGGCCCATTAGGCTTTTGGGCTTAGGGTTTCTGACTTAAGGTTTACAGGGGTTTTAGGTTGACCTCCTCCTTGATTTAGATGACCGTCTTGCCGACGGACCTCAGTTTATTGGAGCCAACTTGCACACTAAGCACCCTCAGTTGAACGAGACTTGGGGAGCGGGGGGGAGGAGGGCATTCTTGGGTCTTGGGCCCCCGCTTGCTCTCCTTAGCCCGCAAGCCATCTCTTACACCCTCATAAGCTTGCTTACAAAAGATAAGGGATCTTCAATACAGTCCCCCAAATAGTGAGATCCCCTTATAAGTGGGACCCCAACACCCCTAATTTCGGAAACCCCCCATTTGTTGCTCAAAAACAAGGGACCTTTAATGCTATAATGCAGTCCCCCAAATAGTGAGGTTCCCTTATAATTGGGACCCCAATACCCCTAACGTTCCTGGTTTTCTTG